AGCTATGAATCGCTATTGCTTCCTACTCGCGGGCGTTTGATTTTGCTTCTGAATTATTCATTAGTGTTTTATTCATGCATGATACTGAAATCTCTTCCTGTCTCGTGCATGGTCACCAGAGTTAGCGCATGTGCCCGACTACCGTACCGTACTCATGGCGCCTGCACATCTCCCGGCAATGTTAAAACATCCCAATCGGAGTCTGAATACCTACAAGAATCGATTGTCTAACGAGGAAGTATCCGCGGAGGCGGAGAGTGATGTCGAAGCTGATGAGTCACGCTCAGGAGCAGATCATGTAGTGTACGAACAGGACATTGCACAATGGGCTGTACCGAGCTATCACATATTTGACACAGGTAAGAGAGATTTCGTGATTTCCAATTTTTGAAAACACGTGTTCCATATATAGATATTGAGATTGTGTGGTGTACATTTACGGTGATACTATGTATATATTTATATTTATATATGTATCGATATCCAAATAAATAAATATATATATATAGATATATATAGATATATATATATCTATATATATATATATATATATATAAGTGTGTGTGTGTATATGTATGTATATATGTAAATATGTATATATGTATATATATACATATATATATATATACATCACTCAAATTCGTGTGTATATTTTTGCTTTTTTTTTCTCAGCCAATCAGCCTGCCAACGCACGCACGCTGAGTGTGGCACTACTGGGGGGTGCAAACACCGGCAAGTCGACGCTGATGAATGCGTTCCTGGATACCAAGCTGTGCATGGTTAGTCCCATCCAGCAAACGACCATTCAGGTAAGATATATACATGTATGTTTATTCAAAGCTTATTTCAATGTTGGTTATATATATATATACATATATATCTATATATATATATATACTATATATATATATATACATATATTATATAATATTATATTATGTTAAATATACTATATATATATATATATGTATATATATATCACGTTTGTGTTCAATTATGTATATTACAGCGTTCCTGGTCATATATACAATTCTACTGTTACGTGAAATAAAAATAATGGAACTTGTGGGCCTAATGGTGCCTGTACGGATCTGCATCGCGTTTTCGCTAGGATTTTTAAGATCTCATGTCTCTCATGCTTCTCAGTAGCAGACTTGTATTGTTCAGCAGGCTAGGCATTAGCATCTCACGTGAGCATTACTATTCTGAACGTATTGATTTGCCGGGCAGTTTTCATCTTCACTTATGCAATAGACATCGTTTAATATATATCGTATATATATATATATATAAATATATACTCATATATATATGTATATATATGTAATATATGTGAGTGCGTGAGTGCGAGTGTGTATATGTATGATTGAATGTATGTATATATGTATGTGCGTACGTATGAATGTATATATATATATACATATATATATATATGTATGATTGACTGTGTTATCATACTTCTTCAATGGGTACTTCGTTACGCATGCAGAGACAACTGGGTGTGCTTACAAAAGGCGAGGTGCAGATTCGGTTCTACGACACCCCCGGACTGATCAACAATCGACAGAAGTCTGCATGGCACTTGCCACAGGTATATTTATAGCACAACGCAATGGAAGCATGTATGCAAATCCAATACACGCGTATACACCCATGTACATGTATGGTCGTACTATTACACACATATGTATTCATGTACACACATGAAAACTTGAGTGCATAACAGTATGCATGCATGTGTTTATCTCTCTAACTGCCTCTCATTTATCAACGTCTTCCTATATCGTATATATATATACATATATATATATATATATATATATATGTGTGTGTTGTGTGTTGTGTGTGTATATGTATATATATGTATGTGTATATACTCCAATAACGTTTATGTGTGATTGACGCTGTATATACTTTTGGGTATGTAGCTGTTCTCTATCGATTCGGCTGTAGCACGAGAGGTCTCACCCACGCCACATAGCACCCGAGTTGCACTTGTTCGGCTTGCTGGTAACACAGTATAGTAAATCTATATACATATTTGCTTATCGTATAAATACATATTTATGACCTTTCCATTGAACATCACACATGCATGTACATAAATTTCATATATATATATATGTAATTGTGGTACCTATACATATATATATATATATTTATATATATATGTAATTGTGGTACCAATATATATATATATATATATATATATATATATAGTATAGTGTGTCGTCGTACTACTACTAC